CTTGGAGCTTTCTAGTTATACAGATTGATTTCATCCTTTTATTTACACATCCAGAGATGACAAGTGAGCTCATGTTTTAAATTAACTTATTTTAAGGCTTCTCATATTTTATATTTTAGAGGTTAAATAATCAGTGCCTTTTTTATTGAGGGTTTGTGCATTGTATACATTTTTGTTTGCTATATAAGTACAAATGACCTTTTGGAAAACAAGTGATCTGGCATTTTATGACATTAAGCTTTATGTCTGGACACTGATTAGGTTGTCTCATTTCTCTGAGTCTACACATACACAATACATTTAAAACGTTTGGGGTCAGTGAGATTTTTTTTAAATTAAATTAGTATTATTTATTATAAGGATGCATTAAATTGATCAAAAGTGACAGTAAAGAATTGTATAAAGTTACAAAGTATTTCAATTACAATTGAATGTTGTTCTATTGAACTTTCTCTTCATCAATGAATCGTTTTGATTGCCTTCTACTGGAAAAACGTCTTATGTACAGTACATAATACTATTTGTTGTATTTTATTTTGGTTTGGTTTGATTTATCTAGGGAACTGAAAGATTTTTGTGTCTGATAAATCTTTGCTGTTAATTCTTCTATTTATCTAAATGAATCTGTGTTTGACACATTAATGCTTCTCTCTACAGCAGGGCAATGTGGGCGATCTGAAGACACTTCGGAAAGGACTGTCCCTGTATCACTCAGAGTCCCAGCTCTCCTCACTATCCCAGTTTCAGGACACCTTACAAAATGTACGTATTAAAAATGATGCAATCTAACGTGACCCCGTTATTTTGCATCAGAGCCAAAACCTAAATCACAGTTGAGCTTAAAAAGATTTGTCATGTTGAGCCGATTTGGAAGAGATTTGGCAACAATTAGCTGTTGCAATTCCAGCTGGTTACAGGATTCTGCATTGCTCTTTGTAGAAGCAGATGAGAATTGACCTGTGCCAAAGAGCTTAAAGCAACACCAAGAAACGTTTCGTCTGCAGTCGCCCTACAGGCTGGAAGCGGAATTGTCCATTACCACTGTCATAAATAATTTAGCCTACCGCAGCCTACTGTCTTATCACCCAATGGTCTGGCATGTATGATGACCTCTTCAGCTTTCTTGACATTAATGTGCTAATGATGATCATTACACTTCCATGGCAGCTTTATAGTCAACAATGATAGAATCTCTTGTTAATAGACTCACATTTATTCAGTATCATCCAAAAAATGTCATTACAAACTGATTTGTTGTTGACTAACACAATCATTTGTGTAAAGAGTGAACAAAAAATGGTGGGCCTACACAACCTTGTGGACCCCTGTACTTCTTACTTCGACATCAGACAACACAGAATTCAATTTCACTTATTGTGTCCTCTTTGTTTAAAACAAATGATACCAATAAATCAAGAAAGGATTGACTTTTAAATTAACTAATTTCTCCAGCATATGTGGGTGAATTGTATTAAATGTAGAACAAAAAAAAAGAAGCAGTCTATGCAACTGGTGCTTCAGAACAAGGTGCATTAGTGTACAGATAACATCATTAGCAGCTCTTCTATCATAATCGTCTCCAAAGATTTCATGACATTGGCTGTTAAGGCCTGTAGTCATTGTTGTCCTGAGAACAATAACTTTTTGAAGTTAGAATTATTAAAAAAAAAATGGTGAAAAAAATTAGTGAAAGATACTTTGCTCATCATATGTAATTTCCCGTGGCCTTGCAGAGGTTTGTTGTGCTCTGAACTCTGCTGGAGTCTCAGTGCTGATCCATGCCTTGCAGGGGTTTGTCATGTAATTTGACTGTATAAATATAATATAGGAGTACATAAGGTCTATAAGGAGTAGAACAGAATGCTGTTACATATGTTTTGTACTGAACATTTGCTCCAAACTCCTTTCTGTTTCATTTAATTTTGTCCACTGCAAAAAGATTCCCTTCAATATACTGTTTTTCTGTACCTCACAGGCTTGTTTTCATTCTTTGTTTTCATCATGTCTTTTACAAAAATTTCCCTCAAATATTAGAGAATATCTCTCTTAATGTCTCAATTAAATCAAGAAATCTGGTTAAACAGATTCTTTCTTTCCCCTCTCTCTCTCTCTCTCTCATGAGATAACATCATCTTCATCACCATCATCATTCCCCTACACCCGTATCCTCAGAAAAGGTCATCTGTGAACCTGGTGCCTTTGCTAATAAGTGCACTCATCAGCTCTGACAGTGCAGCTGCTCCACTTTAATATGAGAGACAGCTTCTACAGGAAAGAGAAATCAATTAGAGAGTGGTGTGGGTCTCGTCCTCAGAGGCTTCTGCACTTATTTTATCCCAGCTCGTCTCAGCTCTGTCTACGAGCACATCGCTTCATTAGCATGGCTTTGAACTTTCACTTTAATCACGGGGGGAGATGGCACTAAATAATTCAGTAGCCAACTGCTGAAACAATAATCAGGTTCGTACAAGTGACACAACAGATCAGTTGCTGCTGTTAGGGGTTACCTGAGGATGAAGTTGAGGGGAGGTAATCAGAGTAGTTTGGTGCTTCAACTGATTTAGAGTTGCTTAACCCTAGTAAAATGTGCTTTTTGACAGGAATGTACTGTATATTTAGACCATGTTTGGGGTCAGTATTTTTACAAAAATACAGTAAACCCAGTAATAATGTAAAATATTACTACATTTTAACATTTACATTTAGTCATTTAGCAAAGCGACTTACAAATTAGGACAAAATTAAGCGAGTCATCATGAAGGGGCAAAAACAACTCAAGAAGTGCTCAAAATACAAAGTGCAGGCATTGCTCGGAGTAGCATAAGCCAGACAAAGGAGGGTTAAGGGGGAAAGGAAATTTACTTTTTATTTATTTTATTGTATGCTCATGGAGATGAGTTTTCGGTTGTCTTTTGAATGTTGTCAGGGATTCTGCATTCCGAATGAATCATTCCACCAGCATGGAACCATGAATGAGAATGTTATAGAGAGTATTTTTTCGGGTCTCTGTAATGGTACCACGAGCCGTCGACTCATCGTAGGCTTCTGGTAGGGACGTAGACTCATAGGAGCGAGTGAAAGTAGGAAGGAGCTGAGCCTGTGATAGATCTGTAAGCAAGTGTCAATGCCTTGAACGAGAAGCGAATGGTAGCCAGTGCAGAGAGATGAACAGAGGAGTGATGCGGGCCCTTTTGGGCTTGTTGAAGATAAGACAAGCTGCAGCGTTCTGAATCATTTGTAGAGGTTTAGTTGCACATGGTGGAAGTCCAGCCAGAAGAGCATTGCAGTAATCCAGCCTAGAAATGACCAGGGCCTGGACGTGAAGTTGTGTTGCATGCTCAGTTAAGAAAGGCCTGATCTTCCTGATGTTGCGCAGTGCAAACTGGCATGATCGAGATGTCTTTGTAGAGATGTCTTTTGTAAGATTACTCATATATTTCTGACCGACCTTGATGGGGTGATTGAGGAAGAATCTAGCTGGATGGCGAAGTCGTTCTCTAGAGACGGTCCGGATAGGCAGGAAGGATGAGAATCTCAGTCTTTGCCAGGTTGAGCTGCAGGTGATGTTCCTTCATCCATGCCGAGATGCCCGCCGGACAGCTTGAGATCCGTGCAGCTACTGTGGGATCATCTGGTTGAAATGAGAGGTAGATCTGGGTTTTACCAGTATAGCAATGGTAAGAGAAACCATGTGCCTGTTTGATGGGTCCCAGTGATGTGGTGTAAATAGAAAATAGGAGGGTTCCAAGCACTGAACCCTGAGGAACCCCTGTGGTCAGTTGATGTGCTTTGGATACCTCGCCTCTCCATGTGATCCCTGAAGGACCTACCTTTGAGATAGGACTCAAACCAGTGGAGAGGAGTACCTGTGAGCCCAGAGATGAGAGGGTGCATGGAAGGATCTGATGATTCACAATGTCGAAGGCACCAGACAGATTCGGGAGAATGAGAACTTAAGATTTGGGAGCAGCTTTTGCGGTCCGTAGGTCTTCTGTGACTGACAGTGTTGTGGCAGATTTTCAGTCTCAATTCAAATCATCAAAGTCTGGTTCAGGTCGTGAAGAAAATTGCTCAGAGTCGAGGCCTTGGGTCTCAGAAAAGCAACTTTATTGAGCAGTTCAATAAAGTGAGATGTCGGCCAGTCATCTAATCTTACAATTGTCTGCACACATTTTTATACCTTGTGGTACCCAATTAGCGCTAAAATTGTTATCGTTTCTCTCTTTGCTCCTCCTTATTACTCCTCCCAGATTACAAACACCTGCATCATCATTTTATTTTTAATTGGGCCAACCTTCTTTGCGCATGCGTATCTTTTCTTTTAAAAAAATGAACATCTGTATTAGTTTCTTTTTACACAATGGGCTCCTGTATAAGTATCTTTTTACACAATGGGCTCCTTGTTTTAGTACGCTTTTCTCGGTGGCACATTGTTACATTGTATACAATTTGTTTCTCTCCCAGTGCCTTCCAATACCTGCATCTGTGCTACAAGTGTTTTTTGGGTACTTTTCCACTCTCTCGTCCCTGTCCTCATGTACCCTATGACCCTAGTTTTTTCTGCTTGGCATTACATCACATGCACGCTTCTTTCACATGCACAGCATGCTTCTTTCACATGTACATAGGACAAGCAGAATTCTCCAACAACAGCAAAAAAGAAAACTTAAAATAAGTTTTTTTTTTTTTAATAGCCTATATTTTAAAATAGAATTTATTCCTGTGATCAAAGCTGAATTTGCAGCATCATTACTCCAGTTACTTGTCACATGATCCTTCAGAAATCATCCCAATATGATGATTTGCTGCTCAAGAAACATTTCTTATTATTATCAATATTGAAAGCAGTTGTGCTGCTTGATACAATATAGTTGTGGAAACTGTGATACTGTTTTTTCAGGACTCTTTGATGAATATAGATTCAAAAAGAAGCACTTTTATTTAAAATAGTCATTGCTGAATAACTTTTTATTTATTTATTTAAATCTTACTGACCACAAACCTTTGAATATCCTTTAAAACCTTTGAAAATAAGGCTATTTGTTCTTCTTAGGTGCTCATTTTAGCTGCCCAGGATCTTATAACTGTCTTTGTTTCCAGACTGACTGAAAAAAATGGCTTGTCAATTAATTCTTTTTTTTAAATTTAGCTTTTTTTATGGCTGATGGACCTATAACTTTTATACATACATCATCCACATTTTCCTGTCTTTTTTAATGAGTCCCACACACATCAGAATAAGGTTGTATGCGCAGCTGACCAGTCCGAGTCTAGTTTTTGGATTTGTTTAATCCAGCTATGGCCTGTTATCTGATTCTGATTTCAAAGTAATGTTTATAATCAATGCATTTTGTGGATTATAGAAAGCCTCTTCAGACTATCCAATAATTTTTTGGTCCTGGATTTGATCGGACTATAGAAATATCTTAATGATTGAATTTGGCTCTATCTATCACCAGTACTCTTTTAGTGACAGCCCTTGGCATGCTAGTCAATCACACAGATGTTCCTTGTGGCAAGGGTTCAAAACTGGGCTCCAAAACAAATAGGATGGTTACTCATTTCCTGTTAATGCCTTGAGATGCCACTTACTACTTAATAGATTATTTAATAATCTATAATCTGATGATCTGATAAAATTGTGTCTTTTTTGGTCAATAGAACAAACACATGAAAGACTATTTTATTGCAATCATTCTGCACCCATATACTACAATGTAAACACTTAATAAACTGTGTAATCTTGGTTGAAGATATATTTAGATATAATAGAATATATAAGGTTTGGATATATATATATATATATATATATATATATATAATTTAATATCATATCATATTATATATAATTTTATTTTATACGTTTATATGAGATAATTCAGTTTTAAAGGCCTGGATAGTCATTGGTTTTGCTATTAAAAAATCCATAATGTCGAGCACTGCTTGGCTTTTACTGGCAAACGAATCCATCCAGAATGAATTGTGGGACTCATGGGCCTCTCTAATCAGGCTACATGGCGATGCATGACAGCGAGCATTGGGTCGGGATGTTCTCGGGTCAGTCCAGGGTAAAGTACCCACGGCTCCAGCCCTCAATAAACCTGCTGGAAACTGCAAGTGAACATCACAGTCTTGTTCTCTCAGGCCAAAAGCGAGTTGCAGTTTCCATCCAGGGGTCCTCTCCCGACCCCACTGCTGAAATGCCAGCTCAATTGTTGTGGATTTAACGCTAGAACGGGATTCAAAGGGCTGTGTCTATACTGGGGCTCACAAGACCCTGTGCACTGAAAGAGCTCTTTGTTGATGGGTACCCATGAAGGGGGTACAAGCAGAGATGAGTTATAATGAGATGGCTTAACCAATTTCGAGCCTGAGTTGACTCAGAGAAACAGCTAATGGCTTTTCCAGTGCTCGGATCTCTTCTGGTAATCTGAGAGTGTAGTATGGGTGATCTTTGATCATGACGAATGTGTGTCCATCTGTCCACAGGGGTCTACACGGATGCCTGGAGGGGATCTGCCGCCCCCTGTCACAGGATACCTGCCGGCAGCACAGAAACCAGAGGCTGTTGTACATGCCATGAAAGTAAGGTTATGATGCTGATGTTACAAAATCAAGCCACACTTATTGTGTTTGAATTCTATGTATGCTAAAATATTATGCTAAATTGTATTATGCTGAAATATTACTGGTAATTTCATGGCCTAGCAGTGATCATGCATTCTACTTAGTTCAAGGCTGGTTTGCAGCATCATTCCCCAGTTGAATTCCCACATTATTTTTTAATAATGTCTTGTCCTCTCTTTGTCATCCCCATAAAAAGTGTGATAAATCATTAAAAAGTTAATGATCAAGCCTGATTTCACTGGAATTAGATAGAGTTTTGTGGTAGAAACGCCTGATTGGTTTCTTGCTTGATTCCCCTTGAATAGGTTTTAGGACGCATCATTCATTTTATGAGTTGAACTATTGTTATACTAATACTGTCACCTAGAGGATTGTCTGTGAACTTTTGGGTCTCGGAAACATTGGTCAAGGGAAGCAGAGAGAACTAAAAAGAATATAAATACCGGTACGAGAATAAATACCACATAAAACAAAAATAAAATACAACAAAATAATTTATTTGAAATTGTCTGAGATTAAGTGGTGCTTGCCTGTGCAAAACTTGCTGACGCTGTGCAAGGTCCAGTGTAATTTTAGTATTATTGATATACACTTATAGAATTTATTAATATTCTGAATTAACTTTTATTTTTATATTTTTAGTTTTCATTTTAGTAATTTTGTTATTGTCACGTTTGATTGCAGAGAGTGCACAACAATAACAAGTTATTAAATCCACACAGAAAAATGCAGGAGAAAACATTAATACAACCACGTTAAATAAAAACGATACTGGACAAGGGAACTGAAAAAAAAACTCCATGAGTGCTTCATATTATATTTAATTCATACGGTGAAGACTATACAAAGTTGAATTTTTACATTTGATTAGTTTATTCAATGTCTGTTTAGAAATAGTTATTTCATTTGGATCTTTTTTGTCTCTTATTTTTCCTATTGTTTGTTATTATCATTTTTTTGTCACTTTTGAAACTGCTCAGAAAGAACAGATTAAGGGGTTGGGGGTCATTTGGGTTTTTTATGACCGTAATGACTGGGGCCCCCTTACAAATTTATGCTTTTGCCCCTGAAGTCTAGGACACATAGCATGCACATTACAGGTTTTGTCATTTGTAATAGATTTTTTTTTTTTTTTTTACAACTTTAATTTATATTAGTTTAAGTTTTAGTACTTTAATACAGTTTAAACGTAATCATTTAAGTTAGTTGCCAATGCAACATTTCTAATTTTCTTTTTTTTCCCCCTCTAATATTTATATTTGAATTTAATTCAGCTTCATTTCAATTAACAACAACAACAAAAAAGATTAATAGTTAAACTTAATAAAAAACACTGAGACTAAGCTGTTCTAGGTTGTTGCCAGGTGGTTGCTAAGGTGTGCTGGGGAGTGATTATTGTATGTTTTTTTCTTACTGCTGCAAGTGAAATTAGCCCAGCCTCTTGTTTCTGTTATATTCTGAATCAGGTCCCCCTTTAATTCGTTTTATGACCAAAAAAAGTTTGCACTTTTCATCTGAGGTTTTATTCATGTTGTAGCATAAATTACCTTGGGTTGGGTTCATTCAAGTCAGTATAGTAACAGAGAAGCTTGCTTTAGTTAACACCGCTAATCATTTAACCCTCTATTGATTTGCTTTGTAGGTATTAGAAGTCCATGAGAACCTAGACAGGAAGATCCCAGAGGACTATGAGGAGGATCTCAGTGAGAAAGAGAAAGCCATTGTCAGAGAGATGTGTAATGTGAGTCTACCTAGTAGCATCTCCCATCTGCCCCCTACCCTGAACCTTAGCTTAGATTCCTCTAGTGCATTGATAAATCCCTGTTCAACAGAAAGAGGCTGTAAGTTTGTGCTCCCTTTCCCATGTGTTTGTTTTCCTGTCACTTTGTGTAATTACGCCGACTTTGATTGAGGACACTGCTTGAATGTTTCACAACAGAGACCCATTTTCAGACCACTTTAATGAGAGGCCTTGGCAAAAGTCCTCAGAGTGTTTACTGCACAGTTGTCCGTGCAATTAAAATAACTTGATCGCTGAAACAATGCAGGTTTATCAGCTCCCTGAAGGGCCCCTGGAATCTGGGACCTGTGATTTGTTTCTGCCCCGAGAACCGCAGCCTGTTAAAAGCAAAATCTCAGATAGCACAAGGGCTTCTTTCTTTTCTGATTATAATTAGTCCCCAGTCCCACTCAACCCCATTTTAGAAGATCTCTCTGTATGTTTAGTCAATGCAATATTTTTTTATTTATTTTACTTTTCAGGTTCCTGGTTTGAAAAATATAATATAATTTAATGTATATTTACGGGTCCATATATATATATATATATATATATATATATATGGACCCGTAAATATATATATTATTATTTTAATATAAATATAATATATTACGTTTGTAAAATTCTCAACTTATCTTCAACTTAAATACACATAAATACAGAAAAAAAATGAATATCAGGAAAGTTATAATTAACACTTTTTCCTAAGAAGTTAAAATTTAAATGTATAGTCTGTCATTTTTATAACGAAAATTGCAGTAATTTATTTTAAATATTAATTTAATTTAAAGTTGATGAGTTGGTTTATTAGGTATCATTACTAAAATGGTCAGTATAATTTTTAATTTATTTATATATATATATATATATATATATATATATATATATATTATCCAGAACCTGAACAATCACATCATAATTACCATCACACACAATATAAAAAATCTGCACATTATAATATGACCAGATGTCTATTCCAGGACAAACTGTACAGTAGCACAGGATAAATATTTTGAAGACACTTTTCATTTCTACAGGATTTCAAGTAGTCAAAGCTGTGACCCAACTGTGTGTTTGCTTTGTGTGTTCAGGTGGTGTGGCGAAAGCTCGGTGATGCAGCAGGATCCAAACCCTCCATCCGCCAACATCTCTCTGGGAACCAGTTCAAAGGCCCTTTGTAGTTCCCTTGTCAATGAACGGCAGGGCCTTGAACAAACAAACAAATCTGTGAATATGACGAGAGGAGCAGACAGAACCGGGCAATTTCGGGAAACGACACAAAGAACTTGGCTTCTACTGCCAGCTTCTCTCATGGCATTCAGTTGAGACATTTCAAACCTATTACCTCCACGCAGGTGGTAGTTTAATATATAAAGGACTCACAATTAGCACAAGCTAAATCACTGCTCTATTTATGTGCATACCTTCCAAGTATTTGTACAAGGCAGCTTAATGGATTCATTTCTCATTCTAGATACGGAATGAAAGCACACAGATAAATGCCTCATGGAGTTACTTATACAAGATTAAACCTTTCCACTCCTAAAAGCTTTTTTGATTTTGGCATAAGACCACTTTCTTTTTCGACTGTTAGCATTCAAAAGTTTGGGGCTGGGATCTTTTAATGTTTTTATCTCTTCTGCTCACCAAGGCGGCATTTAGTTGATCAAAAATACAGTAAAAATGGTTATATTGTAAAATAATAATCTAATTTAAAATAACTGTTTGCTATCCTAATATATTTTTATATGCTGATTTGATCAAGAAACATTTCTTATTATCAATGTTGAAAACATTCTTTTTTCAGAATTTTCAAAAGGAAAAGCATTTCTTTGACATGAGCAATACTTTTATTACAGTATTTATTAATCTTTAATATCAGTTTACAAAAATACCGTTCATTTTTTGTTAACTTTGCAATGTTAAGAAAAACAACGTTTGATTTTAATAATATATTAGTAAATGTTGAAATGAACTAAGATTAATAAATGCTGTAGAAATGAATTGTTCATTCTAAGTTTGTGTTAACAAAAGTAGTTAACTAATGAAACCTTATTCAAAAGTGTTACTGAAATCCTTTGAAACATTATAAATGTCTTTACTGACATTTTTGATTACTTTAATGCATCCTTGCTGAATAAAAGTATTAATTTCTAAAAAAAAAAGAAGAAGAAAAAACACATTATTGACCTCAAACCTTTGATTAGATGTATGTTATTTTGATTTAAGCCACTCACATCACATAAGAATATTACAGACTATCAATACAAATAAACTGTTACTTAGAAAGTTGCCAGCCACTGACAAACAACCAGTTTAATTTACTCCACAATACCAATTTTTACTCATTTACTGCTGACAGTTGTTTTCTTGGAACCTGGTCACGTAAAAATAAAATATGAGAGTAAGCTTTTTATTATTATTTTTTTTTCCCAAGCATGAATACATATAATACATTTGTTCAGGTCCCAGACATACCGAAAAGTGGCTAATTCTTACTAATTCGTAAGACCTCACTTGTACGAATTTGTACGATTTGTCTAAACCCACGTGATGGGTAGGTTTAGGGGCGGGGTCTGGGGTAGGTAATTCGTACGAATTCATACGAATTGGCCAACTCGTAAAATGTGTACGATTTAGCCAAAATCGTACTAATTCGTACGAGTCGGGTCGTACGAATTGTTACAAATTAGCCACCTCGTAAAATTCGTACGAATTACCGTGAGATCGGGTTGGGCATACATAAAATACCAACGTGGCAAAATTTTAGTCTTGAAATATTAATATTTAGAAGATACAATATATGCTGGCACTCTCATGAGTATAAAAATTTAATTAAAGCAAATAGTATACTTATAAATGCCAGCTCAACTTTCACAGTATTATGTAAAGTACTTTAAATTCTAAACTGACAATCGTGATTAACCGAAGCTGCTTTCACACGTCATTGTGGGATATCAAATAAAAGCAGATCAACAATATCAACATTCAATATCATTATTTTAAAATGTATCCCAGTGTAGTGCTTTTAATTGCATAGAAGATTGCATAAATCTGTATTAGGTCTACAGATTGAGTATGCATGAAAAGAACTGGAACCCAATTTCAAGTTCAAGATACTGAATAGGTGCAATATAGAAACTGTCTGGATGAATGTAAGAGTGTGTTTTCATTTCAGCCTGCAATAGCATAAATGATTCCAGTTTGCAGTGGGAAGTTTCATCATCTATTTCTAAAAGCATTTATTATATGATGCAACCTTAGCACATGCAGTTTTAATGGCGTAAAGCATATAGTACAGTACCTCAGCCAGTCATTTTTTTTTTACCTTTTCCTTTTACCAAGCTTATTACTTCTGCATATACTAAATTAAATCAGACCGTATAAGAACTGGATAAGGTTAGCATTATTAATAATGAGCTTCTTTTGCTGAATTTTGTGTAAAACATCTAATTCTGCTTTATAGGCTTATGAGACCTTCAGGCAAACATCTTTTTGTGTGCGTAGTGTACATGATATAAAGTAAAGTCTGAATGGAAGTTAATTTGAGAACTCAGTAAATGAAGTGTATTTGAGTTTTGTGTTATAATTCAGAACCATTATCTGTGTATACAAGAACTGCCTCAAAAGATGCTCGCTGCATTCACACAAAAGCTCTTTTTTTCTGAAAACCAGTGACCCGATAAGCCATAATTTTGTATTGTTTGTTTAAATCGAAGCTATTTTGAGCATTGCCGAAAATCACTCAGCCGATCTAGTTATTTTTGTATTAAAGTTGTGTGGAATTTCATTGAAATTGTATATTTATGAGCGCACTTTTACAGTGCTATATTGAAATCACATTCTTATTGGATGGTTTTGTTCACAGTGAATGCAGCTGGTGGCTTTTGGTGGTGTGTTACTTTTTTTTTTTTCGTCTGATGTTTATGAGAACAAAGTGTGCATGCAGCAAACATTTGAATAAGTAAAGCAAGTAATTGCATATTTTTATGAAAACGATATGTTGTGAATTTGGGTCAGTAAAACAGTGTATGCTGTTCACAACACAGTAATGTCTCGGTTATGCTGTGAAGTGTTTCATGTGAACACAATGCCTAAATACTTGGTGTTGAAGTACACATTCATTAAAACTATTTTTGAAATCCAATTAAAAGTGTCCTTTATAAGCAGATCTAGTCTACACAACTACTGACTTTTTTGTATTTAAGTTTAAAGCACAAAAGAATCTGAAATGCTGAAATCTTCCTTTTTTCAAATGCACTGCTTCTTTTGTGAATGAGGATTTGATGTTTGAATCTTTCATGAAATTCAATGTTCTGTGTAGCTCCTCTGTATGTGAAACACATGAAGTTGTATTTTAGGGCAAGTCAGTGCAATGTAAATAACTTCTATTACTGTAGAATACCTTTAACTAGCATGCGTTTATATATTTTTAATAAGCTGAATGTAGCTGAGAACAAACCTGTATTTTAGCTAATAAAAAAAAATCTAAATGCATTGCAAATAACCCTCTTGTAGATTTGAAATAAAGAATCCTCTTTGTAGAATGTTTCTCTTTTTTTTTCTTTTTTTTGAGTTCTATGAAATGAGCTGCAGAATAAAAGGCAGAGTCTGCCGTCTACTGGGGATTTACTGCTGTTGCATGGACTCCAATGTTAGCAGATTTTGTGACTGAATTTTTGTCTTTTCCAAACATTATGAGAGAAAATGGTGCTTAAAATTTAGATCAAACTAAATATTACATTTATTCTTTATTAAATTTATATGAGCTTCCAGTCTGGTTAATACAATTTGTGATATGTCTGAATGTAGTTGAACATTTTGGTTGTTTTCTAAGAAATATAGCCTAAATTAAATTAAATTAAATGAACATTCATGTATTTGGTGTAGCCTAATTTAAACAAGGTTAGTAATCACTCAGTTATCCTACATGTCCACAATAAACATGCAGAATAAATCATATTATATATTATAAAGTAGCCAATAAAGTGTTAGAAAAATCAATTATACAAATTGATAGATAAATTTTAGGTGTGTGTTTGTGTGTGTGTCGGGGGGGTCCTGTACTTTGACAACAGAGTGTTTAAAGTACTATATGTTATAGTTGTTACGTTTTATATGTTGTTGTTGTGATTGACATTTTCCTCCGCGAATCACTTTGCGCAACTTTATCCTTTTATGGTCACTTTATGTACCTAAAGTAAACTTCCAATCGCAAGACACACAAGCCTTTTCTGTTTGTGCGTAGTCAACCCAACTCTGTAAACCTGACCAAACAGATCGACGACTCACGACCAGTGAAGTCACGACAAACGAGTACCGCCTTAGCGAAAACCAATAGATACGTGCAGTTTAACGAGGTGAAATACATTTACACTTTAACCAATTGGCTCGCACGTATGCACTTGCGTATGTAACATTAGCCAATTAAAATTCGTTTCTGGACAAGCTTAGGGCGGAACAAACGCTTCAATGGCCCAATCCGCTTTTTAGAAATCCTATTAGGGCGTGGCTTTGTCTCTGAAGAAGTTAGGTTTTACCAGTAAACCGTGCTGAAGAGGATTGAATTCCAGGTTGACAGGAGGATCCCTGCAGTCAATTGGAAGGTAGTTTTGGTATATAATGTGACATAATATATGTTTGCAAATACGCGCGAGGTGTGTATAATTAAACAACACGTAATACGTCACATGCATGTAAATGCGTGGCAAATGTACGCTGTAAATGGTGTCTAATTCAGCAAATTGCGAAACACAAGCATGCTGGTTATTAACACATTGAATGTGTCTCAAAAACTAGTGAGCTGCCTACCTAGACACTATATCTGGGCGTTGTAGGCGAGCTTGAAGCAATGAGTAACTTATGCTGTCTAAAATGTTGAACCTTTTTGAAAGCTGTCTGTTTCAATGGCGCTTATGATATCCTAAAATGAAGTCTGTGTAGGCAGCTAACCAGGATTCTTGGGCCAGGAACAGAGTCAGACAGATAGCTAGATAAATATGAATGGATGAATATGTATTGTTTAGGTTGAAACATCCAGTATTTAAACTGAAAACTGGCATGCTGTGTGAAGCAGGTGATCATCTAACTTACTGGTGGGTTTGAATGGATGCATTGGACAAGGCCAGTTATTAAAGGCATCAAGCTGCTGATATTATTATTTAATATATTCTGATCTTGTATTCTGAATATTGATCTGTTGAGGTTGTAGGATAATGTTGCATGTCTTTGCTCTCATCCAGTATAATTACATTGCTTCTCCTTTACTCTTAAGTAGCTTACTTTTAAGTGTTTCAATCCAATTTGCTCTTCATTAAAACAATTGTGTGTCTCATTATTTTTTTAAATGTTAGGCTTTGGGTGATTTGATGGAAATGTCCAAGATTTAAGCTTTGACATGTTCTGTATTCATCTAAAATTTTGACAGTTCAACTGGCCATGCATATTGTGTATTATGTATAATGGCATTTTTTATATAATAAAAGTCAGTTTATGCATGTATAATTGCAATCATAAACAGTGCACCAGTGGAGCTTTCAAAACGTATGCTTTACCATTGAAATATTCTTGCAGTTTTGTACGTTGCCCAAATTTGCACAGGTAAAGAAGCCAACGAATTTTTGAAATATGGGAACAGCTGCCATATGACTCATTTATTAAATTTAACTACATACAATCATTTTGCATTTGATTAGATTCATGTTAGGGACATACTCATTGTTTACAATAAAGTACCTGATTTAGTGCCCTTTGGCTCGCTGTACCCATCCGTTTAATGGGCTCTCAGAGACCATTAACCTGTCTTGGCAGTGATTTCAGATTCAGACAGAGGTTATTTGGATGTGAAACATTCACATGTTTCTACTATTTAGTTATAAAATATACTGTCCACTACACCTAAATATTTATAAGAAGTGTGGAGTGACTATAGTCCAGTTCCTCTCAGACTATTGGCTCATTTTCTGTACAGCCTTTTAGGCTGCATAAAGGAGAATGAAACCTGCTCATGTTTTAGTGTTATTTTTACTGTAGTTAAAAGTATTTATTTTTGCATTCAACTGCCAATTTTCGCAGCCATCCTCTCTCAGAGCAGCAAGATGGGCAAAAAGAGCAGAGTGAAGACCCAGAAATCGGGGACCGGTGCCACAGCTGTGGTTTCTCCTAAAGAGATGATGAATTTAATTTCTGAACTTCTGCAGAGTGAGTATAAAAAGCTTTATGGCTGCATTCATGCTCTGAAATACTGTTGCAATGATTCTCTCTCATGGATGTGTGCATTGCTGCTACTACACAAAAGAATTGTGATTTAATCCATAATCGCATTGCATGATTGTTATAATATTTGTTGTGGTGTTAAAGATGCAAGTGGATCCTGAAAATTAAACCTTTTCCGTGTGAATGATTTCCTAATGTATAAGTAAGTCTATTTAGTATTAAATCATCTGAAGCTTTTACAAATGGAGCCTCCTGAGGTTGTGCTCAAGGGTGCGGTGGTACTTCATGGAATCATTTGGTCATCAATCTACATTTTTAAACCGTACATCAAACATCTCTCCAAAATAGCATGTCATTTTGGGAAGGACATGCATTTGTTTATATCAAAGACAATTTGCCGTCTGTGCTCTTGTGCAAGGACTTTTACCAGGCCGATAGATGCCGCAACATTTTACAAAAGCAGCCGGAAGAGAAAATGAATCGGTCACCATTTGGTTACTCTAGGAAATGGAGCACTAAGCTATTTCCCCACATTCCCTTTTTGGATTCTGTTGATCCAAGCATAAGTGATTGATAAATATAAACGTTTTCTTTTCTTTCCCCCATTCAGAGTGCAGCAGCGCTGCTCCCTCTCCTGGGAAAGAGTGGGAGGAATATGTTCAGATCCGAGCTCTGGTGGAGAAGATCCGTAAGAAACAGAAAGGTACAGTATCGCTTCATATGAATATGATTTAGCAGTTCTCGAGCTTTTATGTAGCGTGGTTTTGATTTGCCATTGGCTATTGTCAAGTATTTAACCGTCCTAGTTCCAAGAATAGAGGACGGAAAAACAGGTGGTGTGGAACTTTTTTATAGTTTACCCAGATATGAAATTAATTCTGTCATTTACTTGCTCTCATTACTTTTTTCTGTGGATAAGCACAAAATTAGATATTTTGGTGTGTGTGTGTGTTCATGTGTAAGTGACATGATGAGGTTGAGTAAATACTGACAGAATCTTAAAGGAGTAGTTCACTTTTAAAAAAAACGTTTGCTGATAATTTACTCACCCCCATGTCATCCAAGATGTCCATGTCATTCTTTCTTTAGTCAAAAAGAAATTAAGGTTTTTGATGAAAACATTCCAGGATTGGCCACTAAACAGCTCAAGGTCCAAATGACAGTTTCAGTGCAAACTGTTCAAAGGGCTTTAAACGACACCAAACAATGAATAAGGGTCTTATCAAGCCAAACCATCAGTCATTTCAAAAATAAAAAAACAAGTTTAAGTTTTATAAGCACAAATGCTCGCCTTGCTCTGTTCTGTGTGAACCATTTTTTTTTTTCCAAGTCATTTGGTTCAATCAATGAACGAATTGAAAGAAATTACTCAAAAGATTCGTTCATTTTGATGAATGAGTTCGAACAGAAGAGTCACGAACGCGCATCACAGAACAGAGCAAGGCGAGCATTTTTGCTTATAAAACTTAAACTTTGTTATTCATTTTTTTAAATGACCGATGGTTTCGCTAGATAAGACCCTTATTCATTGTCTGGTGTCATTTAAAGCCCTTTGAACAGTTTGCACTGAAACTGTCATTTGGACCTTGAACTGTTTGGTGCCTATTGAAGTCCATTATATGGAGAAAAATGCTGGAATGATTTCATCAAAAACCTTAATTTCTTTTTGACCGAAGAAAGAAAGACGTGGACATCTTGGATGACATGGGGGTGAGTAAATTATCAGCAAAAGGTTTTTTTTTTTAAAGTGAACTACTCCTTTAACTACCTTTACTAGCAACATAAAAGAGTACAAGAAAACTTGACATAAAAGATTGCTTGTTGTACATTTCTTTATTTGACAGCATGAATTTAATAACAAAATGTACATTTAAGTAAGTTTCACACAGAAATAGCTTAGTTATACTGTGATGTAAAGACTTGAGAACGATCCTATCACATTACTTAATAAAATACTCAGTGGGAGTCTCTGAGATGTGCATTTAGAACATATAAATATCCATTAGAATAAACGTTTGACAGCACATTATGCAGTAGGATACACAAGAGTAATAGGTAGCACCGTTTAGGTTCACTTGTGTGGTGTTTCAGTAACATAATACAGCAGAGTGCCGTTGAATAATGGAATTCATTACAGAGAGAACTACTCGCGCTGATGTTCAATATACACACAATAGCTAAATCAGCTTGTCATGGGATTGTATTATTTCCTCAGGGATGTCTGTATCATTTGAGGGAATCAGGGAAGACTTTTTTTCCGAGCTGATGGCCTGGGCCGCAGAATGCGGGGCATCTTGTGATGGTTTTGAGATCTCCAACTTTGCAGACGAAGGATATGGTCTGAAGGCCACCAAAGATATTAAGGTTGGTGTTGTTCCTCACCTAGTCCACAGACTGTTTGATAAGTTGGATGAGTCGAGACTTGATAATACGTTTTTAAGTTGGTCTGAAAGGCAGTTTGTCTCTAAATTGTCTCTTCTTAGCCTAAATAAGGCACAGTATGAACCAGGTGTTCATTTTGTACCTGTGTTCTTAGCCTCACAGACACTTGAAAATTTATGGAGATTAGATCCCTTGCAAATGATATGTGGGATGTGCTTGCTTTTTCTGCCACCTACAGAGCTTTCTGTCATATATTCAGTTGAAGACTGAAACAAGTAACCCAACTTGTACTATATATTGGCACTGGCCCCCATTAACTTTGTTAGTGCTTTAGGAGGGAAAGTTTTTAGTGCTGATTGCTACATAGGGTTTAATGATGATTGGTCACATTTTACCTCCAGACTTGATTGGGTTCAATATTTGGGTGTTTCTTTAGCTAATTGTTAATTACAAAATGTAGGTTTACACAATATTTCAAAGATTTCTATTTAAAATAGTGGAATTTGAATGCGTCAGGAAAGAACTAGCCCTGTAATCAGAATAAATCTTTATTCAACTGTACACTGTAACAATTGGTTTTTGACCATGTTATTTTCATTTCTGTCCATTTCAGGCTGAGGAGCTGTTCCTGTGGATCCCTAGAAAAATGCTGATGACTGTGGAATCCGCCAAGAACTCTGTCCTTGGTGAGTTCGCATAGTGTAGCAATGTCAGTCTTTGACCTTAATCACATTGAAACGTGCAAATGTTTCTCTCCTTGCATAGAATATGGAGACCTCATTACATTTATATAAATATTTCCTTAATGGCCCAGGTTAAATGCATCTTTTAACTCCATCAACAGCATCTATTGATTACCACAGATAATGTATTTTACTCGTTCAACAGATGGTAATACACGCAAGTGTCCGGGCAAACATGCAACAATTTTGTTTCTATGATATTTTTGTTTTTATAAGATATTTTATATTGTTTTATTTATTTTTATTGTATAGTAATAATAACAATAACCTTCTATCATGTACATGTTAATTTAATGTTGTTTTCACACTTACAAAACATTTGATTTAGAACCAGTGCTGTTTTAGAAATATTTATACTGGATACGGTTATATTATTAGCTTTTTAATTTTTATTTTAGTATATTTATATACTAAATATACTTTATATTAGGGCTGGGCGATATATCGAGTATCTACGATGTATCGTTATATTTTTTAAAACGATATGGAATGAGGCAATACCGTTTATATCGATACAGTAGTTTGATATGAGCACATCTGAAAAATAGCGGAGGTTGCAGTGTGAGCTGCTGCAGTGAAAGTAGCTAGGCAACGTAGTACAATTTGTCCTAAACATGACACAAGCTTATGTTAATTGCGTCAAAATCACTTTGATATAGTTAACAAGTTTAAGGCAGCTTGCCGCCCTGTCAAATGCTCTGACAGACACTGTTGCTGACTGACAGATAGCCTATATACTTGCGCTGTTTAATGCGTTTGAGATGTGGTGCTTTCCTCAGTGCTCAACTTACATTTCACAGGTATATTCTCCATCTGTAAATGTTAGAAAGTAAAGCAAATATGTCCACTTCACAACAAATATGTCCATGTCAGAAGAGGACGAGCTTCTGCAAGTGAATCTCCGCTAAAATTCATGCTTCCTTGAACGAGCGCCGGCGCGCGCATGCGCGTGAATAGTACTACGTAGTACGCAATAATTCTGACTAAAATAAACATATTGCTAAAATATTTGTTGTTGGAGAAAATAAATGTGCCATATGTGGAATTTTAAACCTACAAGTATATATTTTTAATGAAAGTGAAAGTGATTATAATGGGGTAATCAAATGCAGGCTAATATAATTAGTTTGTGCGTTTGATTTTGTTTTTATTTTCATTTTTAGTTTAGCTTTTAGTCAATATAAAAACAAAAGCTTTTTGCACATAATATATTGCATAGCCTATATTATATTTGTTTCCATATCCTTCAATATCAACATTGTTTGTAGGATATCATTGGGCCGAATGTGAATATATATATATATATATATATATATATATATATATATTAAATATAAAGATTTTCTTTATCTAAATAGAAAACGTAGAAAGTACCGAGATATATATCGTATATCGCCATTTAACCAAAAAATATCGAGATATGATTTTTTGGCCATATCGCCCAGCCCTACTTTATATACTTTAGTATGTTTATAGTATATTTTAGTTTCGTTTTTTTATATACTTCTGTCTTTTTTATATTTTTATTTAGCTTTAATATTCTTATTTTTAGTTTTATTCATTTAGAATTTTTGTACAATTATTTTAAGTTTTTCCATCTAATATTTATGTTGTTTTATTTCAGCTTTGTCAATTGCTGAAAATGCTTTTTAATAGTTTTAGTTAACAATAACAACACAAGTTGTTATCCGAACCATCTGCACAGTGGCACATTTTCAAAATGTAACTGTACTGTGGTTTACATGACCCGATATAAACTTGAATTAACTTTCAAACAAACCAAGCTTTCTGCTCAATTAAACACGGGTCCATGTCAAAAAGGTAGCGTGAAAAGAATTAGTTCTGTTTTAATATCTGGAAACCATTGAAGACAGACCCCTAATTGAACCTTTATTCACAGGGCCATTGTACAGTCAGGACCGTATCCTACAAGCCATGGGCAATGTGACCCTGGCTCTACACTTGCTGTGTGAGCGGGCCAATCCCAGCTCTCCCTGGCTGCCCTACATCAAGACCCTGCCTGCCGACTATGACACCCCTCTGTACTTTGAAGAGGAGGAAGTGCGCCACCTGCTGGCCACCCAAGCCATACAGGACGTGCTCAGTCAATATAAAAACACAGCGCGACAGTACGCCTACTTCTACAAAGTCATCCATGTAAGTCTCACAGCTATCTCAACTGTCTGTGTGCATGCATATATATATATTTATTTATTTATTCATTCAGCTTGATTTTTTTTTTTATTTAGAGTGTGAAAAATGAAAGTGACTTTCTACCACAATCTTAACTGAGTCTGATGGATTGCACTACCAAAAAAAAAAAAAAAAAAACCATGAAAACATTTTTAAAAACTATGCAATTATAGCCTCTTGTTGATTGCCAAATGCAATGTGGTGTGATCAAGTCAAGTGTTCAAGTGAGTTAATTGGTTATTGCAAACGGTTTTACATATATTTACCTGCTTTTTCAAAGAAAAATAACTTCAGCTGTTATTACTGACCCAACTTAAGCACCTACTCACACATTTCAGCTACACAAAAGTACAAAGTTTCTTATAGAGTAAACTTATAGAGTTGTACTCGATCGTATGGCAGTTTTGATGAGTGCGGCGACTGATAGCCCTATCTGTGTCTCATGGGCTGCAAGCCGTTTGAGTGCAGGGTTTTTTAAGTAATCAGCGTGACAAGTTATTCAGGCTCTCCAGCCACATGAATAGCTGTCCTTTACACTGCTGTCTGCTGAGGTGAGGAAATTCAGTTTTAAAAGGATCCCTGCTGTTGAAGGCACATTGGAGATGGGTAAAAGGAGCTTTATAATGCCCTCTTGCACCCAATTTCAGGGCCCCTGATAAGCTGCCATTGACATGGCTTAGAGATGGTGCTGCAGTGGCAGTCTTTGACCAGCAGGGGGAGATGTTTATCCCTTAAAGTAGCGTTCAAAGCAAAATAACTGCTTGTCTGAAGTTTTAGATTTTAGTGCTAGAAAAAAAATGATATGCTAATGATAAATATGATATGATACTTTTTGCTCCGTTACAATAAGGAATTAGAAATCATATACAAATATCAAATTGAAATGTACTTTTAGCCTATAAAATCTTCCTGTCACTTCACAAGTAAGTATTCCTAATTTTAGATATCTCATTGAAACGAAATAAAAATGAGTCAGTCAAATATCAATGCTAAATATTCTGTTGTAGCGTCACCTGGTAAGTTCTAGGATGTATTTTACTTCCACTTTGTTTACAAAAAGTGCATGATATTATTACTTTAAAATGTCATTTCAGTTTTATGCAGATCTTGAATATGCAGACACATTGAGATGGCAGTTTATTTCAACGGGCCTGTGATCTGTCCAATAAGTTTTATCCTGGTTCTTGGACCTCCTCTTAGATATTATTAAGGAAGCAATAATATGCTCTTCCCACTTCTCTCCAATTTCCATTCGAAATCTCTGCTGGTACATTTTGTTTCTTTCATTAGATGACTGTCAATTAGGGAAAAGAAACTAATATTTCACATTACTGTCAAGATAAGGCATCAAATATTCATGCAGATAGTTAATGTATTTGTCATTTTGTCTGCAAATCTGTTGACATTTTCTTTATTAAATGTTTTCTAGTTTATAAAAGGGTGTGGGAGTGTAATTAGGAGCTATATTATTGTTTCTCCGTTAATAACTTTAATGAAGTGTATTTATACTGTTTTCTATACAGCGACTGAAACAAATAACAGGAAACGCAATAAACTGAAATATATACATCTGCTGCTTTTAAGCCGTCGGCAATCTCGGCATCAGTCAACCGAAAGTTAATCAATTTGTATATGTAGTGAATGATTTCCATATGAATATGTAGTCCATTAGGTGGCAGTAGTGAGTTAAGCTTCCAAGGGTACTGGTCTGAATGAAATGTTACTTCCTCCGAAACGAACTTGGTAAAGTTCGTTTCTTGTTCGCCAAGATGACCTCTAGGCATAATGAATTACACATTGATCACGCCGAGTAAACCTTTTAATGAACAGAAGGATTCATTCTCTGAGCGTTCAAACAGAGTTCACAGTAAAATGAACATAACTCTTTTTGCTCATATAAAGCTCTGTGTTTTTTTTTCTTCTTTTTTTTCCCAAAGATGTTCAGTTGAGGGGGAGGGTTGTTTTGCCGGCCCTTCGGTGAGTGTCCTGTCCGCTCCTCTCCTCTTGGCTTTTCAGGTTGGGAGCCAGTGTCACTGTAATGACTACTGTCAATGTCAGCCTTCCTTCTGAGGCGGCCGCAGATGACCGGGCTGGAAAATTAGCTTGTCGCATTGGCTTTGAATTGAATTGACCTGAATGTACCTTCCACACATGACTGACAACCCCAGCCCCCCCTTCTTCTACTTCCTCCCACTGCCTGCTTTATCTGGACCCCCCCTCCTCCTCCTCAAGAAGAAGTGAAAAAAGCAAGGCCCTTCACCTGCTGGAATTGAGGAGCTTTTTATATATTTGCCTGTGTGAAGAGGGATAGGCTGTTGTCAACGCTGAGCGCACTCATAGGAGTATCCAAGCGCCTCCCGTGTCCGCGGGGGACCAATGATAACCGTACCTTCCTCATTGGGGTCGGGTGTGTGCGTGTGTGGGGGAGGTGAACCTCATAAGGTGACCCCGGTATGCAGCGAATGCAAAGTAACCTTGGTGTGCTGCATCTGCCGTTGTTGATGAGAAATGAACAGGCTCCCAGTGGTATGCTCTCATCCTACCCCCTCTCCCTAAACCTGAGAAGATATCTGTCTGACCTCCCTGATGCAGCCTGGAAAATGAATGACGATGTAGGCATGTGTCTCTTTCATAATTTTCAGTAACGTACACAAAGTCGAGAAATGAAACGGTCTACGTAACAGAAGTAAGAAGTTAAAAATGCACCTCAGCACGCGCACTGATCAAGCTCTCTAATCCCGAGCAGGGCGGCGGATGGGGTGCTTGGGGATCTCGGCTCCAGAAAGACCTCCTGGAGGCCACCGGCCAATTAGCCGCGTTTCCCGCCGTCCTCGTTAAGGAGAGCGGGCACTCGTGGTGGGAGCTTTTGTTTTCTAATTGATTTACAGGGCCGTTCCCCCCTCGTCTCTCTCTGAGCCGTGGTGCCATTGTGGCACATGATGAATTACCTCTCTCTGGTGATGCTAATGCATCACAAGCTGAACCTGCAGCAGTGCAGCTGCCCTTTATCTCCGAAAACTGCACCTCATCAAACGTGCCGTCTAAAACTACCTCCGTGCCTTCTCAAACTACCTTACTAGTCTTTATGTGAGCACATTTGACCTTTTTCCAGACTTCCAGGCCTCATCCTTACCCACAGGACTCCTGGCGGACCTCTTCGTGGCCTTTCTGCAGCCAGGCCCCCCGCCCTCCTCCGAGGTGTATCACTCTGTTCAACTAATTATTGCCTTAATTGAATCTATTACGGTACTTGGGCACTCGAGTATTTGGCTCTCAGAGGACTGAAAATATCATTAACTGCGCTTTAACCCTTTTCAGGTGGCCTGTAATGGTTACCGGTGCTCAAAAGTGTTTTTTTCTACTTTGTTTAGCTCCCTTTAGCACATCTTCCTGCAAGAAGTCTGCGAAGAACTGCTTGACTCTCTGGAGATTTGCCCTATTACTTCCATCAAAACATATGTTTTCCTCCCCATCCTTACATGAACCACTTTCCTTCATCTGCAATGTGAGGCTTAAACCCAAGACACAGAATTCTGACTTGCCGGCTTTACCGAGAGCTTATCTTTTAATGGTTGTCCGTCAGCGTACGTGAGCGATGCTTCCAAGTCAGCCTGTTTCTTAGAATTGGGGTTGAAATGAAAGGAAGTGGTCCAGCTCTGCTCTGTTATGTCATGTTTTATGAAATCACAGCTGACCTATACACCTTCATCCAACTTGTGTTACACCTTTGCCTGTTTACTCACAGCAGAGGCACCCGATGCACATAACAAAACTGGACTCTACTCTGCCGGCACACTGAGTTACAGGCAGATATATGATGTGACCACACTGTGTCAGTGTGTGTGGGTTCCAGTCTAGAGCAGCAAGGGGGAATACTGGGCTCAATTAGTGTCAGGGAAATTGATTAATGGGGAGAGACGTGGAAGGTAAAAGTTATCCACTTCTGAGCGCTTGCATTTAATGCTTCTATTCCTCAGTTTGCGAGCCTAATGGTGCAGCTTGGGTTTGCGCCCTCTTTCCAGTATGCGCACGGATGTCTCTGAGACGTCTGTGAAGGAGCATACACTACTTGAAAATTGTTTGATTCTGTCTTCAGTTACTCACCTTGTTATCGTTCCAAACTCGTATAACTTTCTTCAATGGCTAAAGGAGTGTTCACGCTGCTCTTTTCCATACAACAAAAGTTTGTTTGCATTCAAAAGCAACATAAAAGAAGTCTTTAAAAGATACTATTCACTGAATTTTGTATATTCAAGCCTGATGAGTCTGGGTTGGTTAAAGACTGGATTCCCCGATAAATTGGTTAATGGTTACATGACTTGCAGGTAAACAAATACTGTAAAAAAAATTTAGTAATTGTTTTATCTTGATTGCTTTTATTTTAACTTTGTTTTAATCTATTAGCTTATCAACTCATGAGTAGGGGTGTGGATATCCAATCCTGGAACTGGATGCTTGTTATAAAATAAAAATGGATTCCTCTTATCGATTCCTTTGTTTACTTTTTCATATTATTTTAAACTACTCACCCACACACTTTATTGTGCTGCGCACAAACCACACACACAGAAAAGGTTATTTTAAACCATTCAAGTAAAAAGTCTCGCATGCGTACATCCAAAACGTGCACACAGAAAGAGGCCTCATACTGTAGCGCGCAATACTGAACTTGATTTCTTTTCCACATCCATTTGTACTTAAACGGATGAATAATACTCAAAAATGTAAAAATATTCTCGTAAACACCGTTGATTTGAGAGATGGTAAACAGAAAACGCATGTGTAACAGTGTATTGGATCCGTGCAGCTCTTAAAGTGACGGCAGCCTAATATTCCTGCTGCCGTTAATCAAACAACAAAAGACAGATAAAAGTTCTTAATAACTTTTGTAATGTATATTTTATTTGTAAACTGCAGTGTTTCTTCCATTTGATTCATAGTTTATGTACCTGAATACCTGAAAATCTTAACACGCTTATTTAAATCATATTATCTTTTCAGTTGTATTCATTTGTGCGATTATTTATTTGTTAATTTTTAATTACTGAGTGTTTACTTGTCTTTAAACAATGCTTGAACTTTATATTAGTTAGTTAGGCTAGTTTGTTATGATATTTTTATAGTGTTCTTTAGCCTCTTGATTTTTATTCATGGTATTCAGCTGCAATGAATTGTTTTGCAGTACGACTTATGATTTATGTGAGAGATTTACTTGGGATCGAAATTAGGAATGGATAAGAATCACAATCCATAAGCAGAAATTCAAACGATAAAATTCATACTCATGAATTTGGAATAATCGGACGTGTTGATGTCAAACTTGGCACAACGTGTCTGCATGAACCTTGCTCAGAAAATTTGTCTTATTTGTGTAAAAACATGATAAAAACACATTTAAAATAGATTTTCAAACATTTGCTGAATGTTGATGTAGCATTCAATTAAAAAAAATTGCAGATCAAAGGGACATTTTATGGAGGTTATTTTGTATTCACATGTAAGTGATTTATTATATTTTGAAATCTGCAACGTTCACATTTTCTTTTGTTGTTTTGTTTCATGTCTGTTGGGCAGTCTTATCACTCATTCTGTGTGACGGACTGATCACCTGACTCGTTATTATTATATTCGAGCGCGAGCTTTTTGATGTACTGTTTTATATACATATCAGCACCATTACGATTTTCACGGTACCTCATTGTGGAGTACAGTGCTTCATTTCACAGGACAAGCACCACACACACACAGCCATGAGAGTACCTGTGGGGGAAAAGAAGAATATCCTTCACTCTCAGCTTCATACCTACATCTATTTTTATGGCTCATTTTGCATGTTCAGGAGGGTGCTACGGGCCGGCTGAATTAGACCCTGGCATTCTTTGCTCCCTACCTTTTTTTCCTTGGGATTGTAGCGCGCCCCCCCTCTCCATGACACCCGCTGCAAATGAGCCCTTGGAGGGAGCGAGTCTGTGGCTTTAAATGTAGATTTCTGTGGCACCAGTGGCTCTCTGTCACACAAATTGATGAAGCAGATTTATGACGGCTGCTGGGCACAACAAATTAAGTTGACAGTGATGTATGGGGGGCTAATGCCACCATGATCCTTGCATAGCACCACTGGACGCTCTTTGCCTGGCTACACTCTTGTTAGGATCTGTTAGGCAGCCACATAATGAAATTCCACTGACTGATTTGTGTTTTTTTTTCCCTTCTCTCTTTTCTTTCCTCCCTTTTCTCCTCTACCTCCATATCTCCTTCTCTCTGGTCCTTAACTCTCTTTTCTCCTTTTTCCTTCCCTCCACTCTCTGTGTTCCCCATCTTCAATTCCCAGACTCATCCGAACGCCAGCAAACTGCCCTTGAAGGATGCTTTTACCTTTGACGACTACAGGTTGGTTGAAATGTCCTACTATGTTAAAAAAAGAAACTTCTCTTCCCTGCTGGAGCTCAAAAAAGGAAAAGAGCAGGAAGATGAGCCGTAGGTTGGTTGTAGGGCTACGCGACGGCCTTTTTAAAATGAGGCGTTTGTACTCATTGTTCTTTCATTAGCAGCAAATTATCTGTGAAGGAATAATTTATCATTGGTCCCCTTTCATCTTCAGATTGTTGAATATGATGCAAGTCTGTGCCTCCGTTGGGTAATGTGTGAAGAGAATGGAATAGCGTCTTGTCACAGCTAATGTTGTCTTCGGTGGACTTCAAGTTCCTTTTAATAAATTATGTCCTTATTATTTAGACTAGATTTTTTTTTCTCTCTCTTCTGGACAAATTCAGATTTAAGGTCATTTTATTGCCTTATGCAAGCTATTAGAGCAGCTGTATTCTGTACTTTTTTTAAGTAATGGAAGATTTTCTTTCAGTTGTGATTTAGTTTTACATGACCATTTTCAACCCTCTCTCTGGCCTTTTGTGCATTTAGAAATTTTGTATGCAATTGACCCCTGTTTTGATAAATTCTTGCAAATGAAATGCGCAAAAGTGCTTCCTATTCAGAATACTAAAGGCCTTGGTCTGTAAACATGGGCGTTGATGCAATAAAGCCCAGATGAAATCAATATTGACCCCATTTACTTTATTCGCACGTGTCATTAGAAAACAGTTCACAGAAAAAATGAGTTGTCTTCATAATCTTGAGCAGAATATACTTAAAGGAGTAGTTCACTTTTCAAAAAACTTTTGCTGATAATTTACTCACCCCCATGTCATCCAAGATGTACATGTCTTTCTTTCTTCAGTCGAAAAGAATTTGTGGTTTTTGATGAAAAATTACATTTTTCTTCATATAATGCACTTCAGTGGGAACGCAACGGTTCAAGGTCTAAAAGACAGTTTCAGTGCAAACTGTTCAAATGGCTTTAAACGATTCCAGGCGACGGATAAGGGTCTTATCAAGCGAAACAATCGCTCATTTAATAAATAAATAACAAAGTTTAGGTTTTATTAGCTCAAATGGTCGCCTTGCTCTGTTCTGTGATGCACATTTGTGACTCTCCTGTTCGAACTCGTTCATCAAAATGAACAAATCTTTTTCCGAGTCATTTGGTTCATTCAACGAATGAAACGAATTAATTTACTCGGAAAAAGATTCGTTCATTTTGATGAACGAGTTCGAACAGGAGAGTCACGAACGCGCATCGCAGTACAGAGCAAGGCGAGCATTTGAGCTTATAAAACTTCAACTTTTTTTTTATTTTTTTTTAATGAGCCTTATTCATTGTCTCGAATCGTTTAAAGCCCTTTGAACAGTTTGCAGTTTGTACTGAAAGTGTCTTTTAGACCTTGAACTGTTTGGTTCCCACTAAAGTGGGAACCAAACCATTATATGGAGAAAAATGCTGGAATGTTTTCATCAAAAACCTTAATTTCTTTTCGACTGAAGAAAGAAAGACATGGACATCTTGGATGACATGGGGGTGAGTAAATTATCAGCAAAAGTTTATTGTATTAAATACAAATTATTAGCAAAACTCCTTTAACCTCCAACTGTTTGTCTGCTTGCAAGCAAGATATGACCTGGAGGTGCTAAAATCAAGCCCCGTCTGCATTTTTTTTCTCTTTCTCATTTCAATATTCAATTTCACTCGGAAATGCATCACAATCCTGAAGTCAAATTGGTTGCAACAGTCCGGTTCACATGGGCTTTAATGTTCGAAGGTTGTGACATAAATACTATGTGTCCAGCAGCTTAGTGTCTATACATGATTTTTTGGGTAGACTGGAAATGGAATTTCGTGTTATCAATTATAAAATAGGTCTACATTTAAACTCTTTGACTTTGACTCCTGTTTTCCATTATATGTCCTTTTAACATGTACAGCATTTTTAGTAGTGTGTTGAATTTGTAATGAAGCCATGCCTTTTTTGTATATCAGGTGGGCAGTGTCTTCTGTAATGACTCGTCAAAACCAGATTCCTACTGCAGACGGAAGTCGGGTCACACTGGCTCTCATCCCTCTCTGGGACATGTGCAACCACACTAACGGACTGGTGAGTCCACAGCACTGCTGCAAAACCAGTACAGAACTCCGCAACCAATTCAGTTCAGCCATTTTTATTTTTAGAAATATTCCTGCATGACATGGACGTTTGCAGTGCTTTCACTTGTATTGCTATCTTGAAGTACAGGGGGAAAACATTTACTTTTAAGGAATGCGGGAGTCTAATGTGATGCTTTTTTTTCTTCAGTAGATTATGCCTTCATCCCAAGGGTTATTTTATATTTATTTGGATAATTTGTCTTTGATTGTGCTCAGCAGCTCCTGCCACAAAGCAATATATCGCCTCTGTTCATATGACTCTGTAATGCACTTATATCCTCAAATGAAGTTTTGTTTCAAATTACCATGTGCATTGAAAATCACAGTCATTAAGATGTGTCGTGAAATGTTTTTTCTGGTAATCCCCTGGTTAAGCTTTAATAAAAACATATTGTATTTTTCTTTTTTGTTAGCAGTGTTTTTCGTGCAATTTACTCAAAGATTATTTGATTTAGTAGAAGATTTTGAGAGATTTAATAGTGAAGGATTGTATTTGTTAGGGTGTGTTATTTTAATAAGTTGGCTTTATAACCATTAGTAAGTGCCATTTCATTCGTTGGTTTTGCCCTATTGTTTTGTTTCATTTGATATTTTTCCCACCCACTGAATATTTTCATGATATAGCCTTACAGTTTTGGTTCCTAATTGTTTGTATTTAACATTTTAAAGTTGGGGGAAAAGACAAAATAGAAAGGTACAGGTTTTTGTTGACTCATGCTCTGTTTTGCACCTGATATTAAAATCGGTTTCCGGTGATCTGGTTACAAATGGACGGGAAAAGGTGTAAGCAAAATTCAATAACAATGACAACACTTAAACTGGGAAAAGTGGCATTAAAAATTGGCTTTTGATGATGTCAGTGGATGGAAAAGTCTTGAATATATTTCATATAAAATAAGGTGGAACAGTTCATGAAAAAGCCTAAGAAACTTGTGTGCTATTGTCCTGCTTAATTATTGAAACTTATTATCCATTTGTTCATGTGATGTGTCATTTATACACTACGTTTCAAAAGTTTGTGGTCTCATATTTCTTATCATCAGTGTTGAAAACTGTTTGGAAATATTTTTTTTATAACAATGAAAGTCTTTCCTGTCACTTTTGATCAAATTAATGAATTCTTGCTAAATGAGTGTTTTTTTAAAAAAATAAAAAAATAAATAAATAACACACATGTATGCATACAGATATATAGCCAAATCAGTATCTTGTATATGACGTGACTCAAATGTTAAGACTTTTTTTTGTTCTGTTCTAGATTACGACCGGCTACAATCTAGAGGATGACCGATGCGAATGCGTAGCTCTCAAAGATTACAAAGAGGGCGAACAGGTGAGTCTTACAACACTATCACAGCAGCTCGACTGTTTACAGGTCACAATTAGGATTACCGTTGTTCTGTTACAGCAGAAATATCTCGGACGGCTTCACATCTCTCAATGCGATTGACAAAAATCAGCGGGTGGATTTCGTGCCATGCACTGTCCACCTAATGCTCTTGTACATTTTCAATTTCTATTTGCGCACTCTCACCTCGCGCTATTGCTCTACGCTTGTGCTACCGTGATGCATTTATCAGCCAGCAGCCATTACGAAGGCCCGGGGGTAATATCAGAGCGGAGGCATTCAGATCCAGCCATGGGGAGAGCGGATATGCAGGGCACACAGTGACAGGCCAGGTATACCCCCCTCCCCTTCTCTCCAGAATGTGAATTATTTGATAAGATTCGCAAAGACAGCCAGTGGAAGAAGAAAGAGAGTGCGGGGGCCGGCGTGTGGGACTCGGACAAGCATTGGGGGGAGTAGGAGGGGCTGTTTCGGGACCGTCGCTCCGTACAGAGCCGTTTGATCCCTGATTCCTGCTGCTGATTTCGCACTGGGCCGGAACTCACTGTGGAGAGGCTGAGAACAGGATTGAACTGTGCTTCTCTCTCGCCCCCTCTCTTTCTCTTCAGCAATATGTTTTATCTCTCTCTCTCTCACACACACTTTCTGCGCAGCATTATCTGTACATTTTGTGAATGTATTGTTGAGGGGAAGACGTGAGCGGTGTTTTGAGAGGACTGTAGTGTGGGAAGGAAGTTTTTAGGGCTAAATTGCCACTGTATAATATTCCATCCATTCCCATAGACCTGTGAGTCCAGGTGTCCATGTCTACTTCAGCTTCTGAAATAAAAGGCAGTGCCAATTAGGGTTGGGAACCGAGAATCGGTTCTTATACAGAACCGTTTGTGTTTTTGAAAATTAGTAAGTTTCGGTTCCGAAAACAGTTCTGGAAGCTTATCCTTTAAAGGAGTAGTTCACTTTTAAAAAAAACTTTAGCTGATAATTTACTCACCCCCATGTCATCCAAGATATCCATGTCTTTCTTTCTTCAGTCGAAAAGAAATTAAGGTTTTTGATGAAAACATTCCAGCATTTTTCTCTATATAATGGACTTCAGTGGGAACCAAACGGTTCAAGGTCCAAAAGACAATTTCAGTGCAAACTGTTCAAAGGGCTTTAAACAATTCCAGATGATGAATAAGGGTCTTATCAAGCGAAACGATCACTCATTTAATACATAATTAACAAAGTTTGAGTTTTATAAGCTCAAACGTTCGCCTTGCTCTGTTCTGCGACACACGTTCTCCTGTTCGAACTCGTTCATCAAAATGAACAAATCTTTTTCCGAGTCAATTCGTTCCTTTTGTACGTTGAATGAACCAAATGGCTTGAAAAAAGATTCAGTTTGCACTGAAACTCTCATTTGTCATCCAAGATGACATGGGGGTGAGTAAATTATCAGCAATAGTTTTTAAAAAGTGAACAACTCCTTTAATAGTATATAGATATTAAATTGGTAATGAATGCACTGAAAAGCCCTCGTGCTACTCGTATACATTTTGCATCAGATATCAACGCAGAGAGAGAGTATAAAAACAGTTAGAGCTGCACGCTTAATCTTTAAAAGATACCCACGCGATTACTAAATGACAAAAACTTCACACCCGAACATTCAAATCTGTTCGCACTGTCGCTGACCTAGAAAGAACAATTGTCAATACCGTATCTTTTGTGTCCAGAATTTACAAAATGTATATAACCAGTGAGTACATTATGAATGCCGTTTTTCAATCCATGTTTTCGTCTTATCCTGAATCACTTCGGTAAGCCTGTAATAAGCGTTTATATTCAGACTAGTTTTACACCGGTCAGGTCGGCACCGCTGTAGAGTATCTGCCTGACTCGTCAGAGGCATATTATCCTATCAGACATATACAGAGAGAAGTAGCTCTGGCTATAATGTTCTTCTGCAAGATGCATTTCTGTTTATTAACTGCTGGAGATACAATAAATTGGCGGAACCGGAAAATGTCTTACGTTTCCCAACCCTAGTGCCAATTATGCTTTGTTGTAGTAATGTGTCGAATTACAAAGTTCTTCCCTTTGTTTTCCCTCAGATCTACATATTCTATGGTACGAGATCCAATGCAGAGTTTGTGATCCACAATGGTTTCTTCTTTGAGGACAACGCACACGACCGTGTGAAAATTAAGCTGGGTGTGAGCAAGAGCGAGCGTTTGTATGCCATGAAGGCAGAGGTTCTGGCCCGTGCAGGGATTCCTGCGTGAGTATCCTGTACAGAAATGACATATGATCTATGTAGAGTCAGGTCTTTGACTAGCTTTTCTTTTTTTATCATTTTGACTTTAGTGTTTAGTCTAGTTTTAATTCATTAAACATAAACATAAACATATCTGGCCTCATAATTGCATTGCATAAATTATCTATTTAAGAATTATATATTTATTAATTATATATATATATTTATTATATATAATTGTTTATTAAAGTAAAGAAAAAAGTAAAAACTTTTTAGTAAAGATGAGCCAAAATAAGAAGTTTAAAGACATGTTACAAAAATCAGTAATCAAGTTTTAGTTAGAAAACTTTTTAATAATAAAACAAAGGAAATTATTATTATATTAGCTAATGGCAGTGTACTGTAATTATTGAAATGTAAATGATCAATTATTAAAATTATTACTGGAAAGTAATTATTTATTTTTTTCGCCATACATTAAAAAAAACATTTTCTTCTCTTTTTGTAAATGTAATGTGTATGATATTCGAATCGCATGTTAACATCCGATTCAATCCTAGATGTCTCAGTGGTGCGTAATACTGCTGCAAGAATCATCATCCAAGTGTAACCGAATTACAGTGCTGTAAAACCTTTTCTATTGTGGCATAATACTATCAGCGAACTTTGTCACACAGATCAATATCCTTTAAGTCTCTAAAAAAAAAATCCACACAGGCCCATATGAAATTACCTTTTGATTCAGGTCAGAGTCAAGATACTTCTTTTCATCCCCTTGTAAGTCAGACAGGAAGAGGCCATAGATATGCTCCAGTAATTAAACTGTAAATTATAAATGATTGAGCGTGTTTTTAAAAATGCATCAAGTTCAGTAGCCTCTCATCGCTTCAGATCAATCAGTTGTCATGCGTCGGGGAGCAGCGCCGCGGTCTCGTGCAGGCAGGAGGCTTCCATTAGCACCTGCCCGTTCCACTGGAGTTAATTGGGGTTTAATTTGAGATGGGTGTGTGGGGGGGGCGAGTCAGTTGGTGCTTTGAACCCTCTCCGGTTCTTCTCCTCCTCAGGTCCAGTATCTTTGCCCTGCACTGCAGCGAGCCGCCTATATCCGCTCAGCTCCTGGCCTTCCTGCGTGTCTTCTGCATGACTGAAGGTAAGATATCATCCCGCCTGGCACTAAGGTACACCAGTGGTCATACATGGTCCATAAATCATGGAACCTTATTCCATACCACATCCTTAAACTAAACTAGACAGGACAACGAAGCCTAAACAAGTGCCCCTCGGGTGTTTAATTGATCAAGACGGTGTGGCAGATGTGTGGAAGGACTGATCCAGAGTGAGTGAAATATTTATTAGCATCCATGTAAGAGAAGTTTTTGTCATAAATCCCATAAAGCAAGGCCTTGTCCTCTGGCAAGACCTCTTAAGTCTGAGTTTATACATTATTCAGAATTTTTATGTTAATTTTTAAACGAAGCGCGGCCCCTGTGCTGGGGGCTTCTTTTTTTTTTACTGGTGTGACAGGATTCAGCGTCGAGCGCGTGCGAAGCACTCGTTCGGCAAGCCCTTTCATCTCGTTAGCAGCCGTGTAATCATACCTTACATAATCGTCACAGATCAGACCTGCCGGCTCACTTGCACAGCAGATTACTCCCTTAACTAGAGAGGTGTGCATTTCTGATTGCAGAGGAACTCAGGGACTACCTGGTGGGCGATCACGCCATCAACAAGATCTTCACCCTGGGCAACACCGAATTCCCTGTCAGCTGGGAGAACGAAATCAAGCTGTGGACGTTCCTGGAAACACGGGCTGCGCTGCTTCTCAAAACCTACAAGACAACCTCAGAGGTGCTGGAATCATGTCAAACAATATCTGAACTTTTCACACAAACATTACAAAGCATCTTTACATTTTTGAAGCTTTTAAATTGGAACAAAGGTAGCATATACCAAAAACATTTCATATTGTCGGTTACACTTTATTTCCAAGTCCATTTTAGACATTCTACTAACTACAAGTGATTTTGCAACTAAATATCAACTCAAGCTAGCCTAGAAATCTAGACTCCCCCTAGCGTAGTGTAGTCTAGCAACTCTCCGTTGACTTTCGAGCTGGAAAAACCAAACTCTAGTCAGGCCAAACACATTGTGTATAGAGTCGGCTGGAAGGCTTAACATAATGACGACAGGGATGCGAGGGTTCACTGCTACTTGAAAACAAAGAATGGCTGATTCTGCTAGCGAACAGCTGTCTTTTGATTCGGCTTTGCCCGCAACTCGGGATGAAACATGAACAAAGAACAGCACGTGAGTCATTTTTAAAAGATGTGTCAGATCGCTCTGACTACGTAACCACTTCCGTTGCTCTGGTTGTTTGTAGCGCTGTCATATTGCATGCAGAGGCAATTTGAAAGACAGCCGTTTATCCCACCCCTCTGATTGAGCCCTGTCAATGGTGAGTTCCCAGACCTAACATCCTGATGTAGGTCTGTCATGCCAGGATAAACTCAAGCCTTATTCAGATGGACTAGTTTTACCAATTTACCTACTGTTTTTCGGCAAAGTAAACGGTCCTCTGAGAAACCTAATCCTGTCCGGAATCCGGATGCTAATGTCTGCGATTTCAGACGTCGTGCTGTAGTTTCATTTCGTTTTAATATGGATAGTATCCAATGAAAAAAATTAATTATTAATTAATAAATTGAGCAAAATCGTGGAAACTGCAAAGACTGCATATTTTAATATCAATGTCTAGTAGGATACTTGTCTAGATGTCTCTGCACACTTATGTGGGTGTATTATAAACATCCACTTCTATAAAATAAATTCATGATAAGTTTATTTAAATAGGGTTTTAATAATAAATGAAAGGTATATCAACAAGTAATGAATTAAACGCATATGTCATAAGTGATGCACACAAGTACAGCAGATGACCTTCTGTAATGCCCACATCTATTAAACTCCCACCTCTAGAATAAACACAGCCATGTTATTCCCATCCTAATCAGTACATGAAATCACAGATGTCCGGTGATAAGAATTGTAACACAAACATTGTTTAGAAAACTAGTGCTGTCCGAATACAGCTTAACCCTTATTAATTTGCAACTAGATGTCAACTAACTTTAGTAAGAGTATTAGTACGTAGTATATCAGACTGTTAAGTTCAGTTGACATGTACCTGCAAAGTTACTTCTAGTCTAGATTGTCTGTTGGGGAGCATCAAAGTAAAGTGTTAGCAGATATTAAGCAGACAGTCTATTAGTAGTGGAGTATTAAAGTGTTGTCTTATTATTTTTTCAGTATTCTTTGAATATAACAGCAAAAAAAAACATATATATATATGAAGAGTTCAGATGCAAAATGATGCCTCTAAATGCCATTTGAAATTTTCTTCTTTAATGATGATTTTTATCAAACTTGTATATTTAAGTTCAGTAATTTCACTTAAATGGCAATGATAATTACCTATTAATTGTTATTTAAGTGAAATTACTGAACTTAAATATACAAGTTTGATAAAAATCATCATTAAAGAAGAAAATTTCAAATGGCATTTAGAGGCTTTTGCATCTGAACTCTTCATATATATATATATATATATATATGTGTGTGTGTGTGTGTGTGTGTGTGAAATTTTGCTCACCAAAGCTGTTTTTTTACAGTAAAAATACAAAACAATAAAAACAGTAATATTTTGAAATAATAGTATTTCAATTTAAAATAAATAATAAAATAATTTTATGGCAAAGCTGAAATTTTCACATCCAACAGCATTTATTTGAAATATAAATCTTTTGAAACCATAGAAATGTCTTTACTGTCATATCAAAAACAACAAATAACACTTCATTAAATGGAGAATTAAATGTGGATTTTTTTTTTTTTTTTACATTTTCAAAACATTTGTTTTTAACCAGTTTTACACTTGAGGGCTGGTAGGTCATCCAATCAGAATTTAAAATGAAATCATCTGTTGTCGTTTTTTTTAAAGTTTGAAAGTTTTTTGATAACTGATTTTGTAATCTAGCAGTTCATTTGTTTCTGATCGTTAAACAATAATGGTTAAGCTAGCCAATATGGTCATTATTTAAAGATCTCTGTTGTCTTGATCAGGAGGATCGCTCCATGCTGGAGAAGCCTGACCTGTCCCTGCACTCCCGCATTGCTATAAAGCTACGGCTGGCGGAGAAAGAGATTCTGGAGCGCGCCGTGTCCTGCGGTCAGGCCAAGCGCCTGCACTTCCAGAAGCAGCTGGACGAAGGAGCCTCGCTGCCGCTCTACGAAGAAAGTGACATCGCCCTTTTGGAGAACACAGATGCCAAACTCCCCATCATCCTGCGCAAACTGGAAGAAGAAGACGAGCACGTTCAGGAGGAGATGAACCTGGCCGAAATCAAACCCGACGCTGCCTGCCTGGACTCCTCCATGCCCCCTGTTCTTAACGGCCAGTGTAAAGATCTCAATGGTACTCAAGAGGATCCTTCAGGAAGTGATGCAGTGGTGAAAGGGTGTGAGGTAGAGAAGCATGACCCAAGTACCAAACGAACTGAAGGTGAACCAAAAGATGGTGGCAAATAGTCCTGACCAGTGCGCGGTGGCAATCTTAGTTCCTGCTCTTTATTTATTTTTGTTTAAGAGACTCACAAATAGGAGCAAACGCTTTCTAAACACAACAATGCAGAGGATTTCAGTTTAAACGTTTTTGTTTGTTTTTTAATAAATGCAGCTTAAGTATGAGCTAGCTCAAGCTATTAAAAGCCTGTTTTTTTTTTTTTTCGTTTGAGTTTTTAATCAGTGCCACAACTTTTCTTTTGTAGTAGCTTCACTCGTGCTGCCAGACACGTTCCTGTTAACAAGGTGAGGAAGTAACCAATCATATGGACAAGGCTTGCTCAGACTTAACGAAATGAAAAATATATATATATCGAAGACTTTAACATGGTAATGTTGCCATGGATGTTTCGGTTTAGTCATCTAAAATGCTGACTAAGGGATTTTTACTTCTCTCTAACCAGCCGTTGCTGTAGACCATGGCAGAAACATGCTTGACGTTCAGTGCCGCTTGACAATCATTACTCTTATGTTCTGACATTGATCCGTGAAGAGATCATCACTGATGCACGCTAGTTACTTTACTCACATAAAAAGTAAGGTTACTGAAAGTCTCAACGAAGTGAACATTAGTTCCAGTTTTGAATGTTGTAACCTGAACCAGAGGATAGGAGATTATTTGTGGCTTTATGGTTACTCTTTGCTGTGAATGTAATTCTAAGTTTGTGTGTTAAAACCATTCACTCTTTAGGATGGTATACATGTTCATTTTAATTCTTCTATGCTAATGAACAACCTTGCAGTTAATAGACGGACTATGATCTCGGAGGACTAACTCCCTCATACTGGATCTTTGAGAAATCTTTTTTTTTTTTTTTACTTGCTTCTCTTTATTTTTAATGCAAGTATTACGTGTTTTATTTAAGTATTCACTGCAAAGTTCACTAAAGTGGTCATCTTTAAGCCTTGACAAATGTCATTTAATTGAAGTAGAAATATTGATCCAGGATGAAGACCTTGTGCATTTACAGATGTGCACCTCCCACAAGGCAAAACTCTGTTCCTGTCAGCTTTTAAACGACAAAACATTGGGGACTATTAATCACTGGAACAGTTCACCCAAAAATGAACCTCTACCATTGTTTATTTACCCAAATGTTGTTTGAAATCTGTATTTTTTTTATTATTATTTTAGACCTTAAAGCTTAAAATTGCAACGGGGGTAACCAAGAGCCGCATCACCAAAAAGCTTAATGAAAGTGGTTTATACATGCAACTTGTGTTTTCAAGTCTTCTGAAGCCATATGATAGCTTTGGGTAAGGAACACACTGACATTTAAGTGATTTATTGATAATATTTCATTTTTTTCCTCACACGATGCTATCATATGGCTACTGTTGTTTTTTTGGAGCTTTACCCCCTTGGTCACTAAGAACTGGCAAAATTAAATGTGTGTGTTTTTTTTTTTTATCTACTAATATAATAATACAAATAGCACAATTATGGTTTGGTACCACATAAGGCTAAGTAAATAATGATTCCGTTGCTTTTTGGGTAACCTAATTGTTAAATCTTGAGTCTCTACCCAGTCACATGATCCATCAGTAGTGACTTATGAGGTGATGAGAAATTAATCGAAATATGCCCCCAGTGTTTTGTTGTGCTTTTGAAATCCCATATGTTGAAATTGAAACTGCATTACTTTTAATGTGTTCTGCCCATAAACAGCACTGTTCAGAATGGTTTGTTTTCGTTGAAAGATGTTTGAGTGTATGGAAGCCTTCCACTTGTTCTTGCTGCTTCTGTATATAGATTTATAGCTTTGAAAGCTAACAGCTTTAATACACTTATTCTCAAATCTTTAACATGATCTAGCCATAAAGAAGAGACATAGTGGATTGCACTGACTCCTAGTACATCAGTATGACTGTATAGGTAAAAGCCATTAGAGTCTGTCTACAATGACAAGTCCAAGATTAAAGTTGTGTGCATTTTTCACCTGAATCAAATAAGGTGGAGTGCTTTTCTTCAAATCTCTGACCTGTCTATCTGTCTTTAAGAGAGCCTTTAAAAAAAAAATCCATTAAGAGACATAAGGCCGCTCGTCCATTGTCCTTTCATTCTTCGTTTCATTTGAAGGGGGAAAAAAGGGTTTTATTTAATGTATTTTTTCATTCTTTGCCCCCCAAGCCCCATTACAAATTTATAAAAGAAACATTATCTTGAATCATTTAATTCGGGGCAATTAAATTTTGAAATTCCACATTCATTATTCATGGGCTTCAAGATAAAACCCCTTTAATCCTTGAATAGATTATTATAATGGGCTATAGTGTGGGCAGTGGTAAACTCGGGCAGCCCTGTACATGTCCGGTATTGTTAGTATTCCTCTTGTCAGGGCTGAGAGCAGAAGTGCACGAATCTCCCTTTGGCCTGGGACCATGCCACCAAAGTAATTCTGCCTATGAATAATATACAGCGCTTCTATTAATATAGAATGCCGTCAGGCCCTGGGCGGAGGGCCCATTGTCATGCAAGTATTTACCAATACATACTTGAGGAGAGTGGGGGGCTTTCTTCCAAGGTTGCGAGGTCACATTTACATGCGCGTTAAGTGGTGGAGGCCCAACCGGAAGAGATGACTTTTTAAGTTGCGTGCTTAAAAGTAAATGTTTCAGGAAGGGGTTTTCAGCCTGTTGACATGGGGGAACTCATTGTTTTCAGAAAACCATCTACAGTGAGGTCCAAAGTTTGAGACTACTAGTGAAAGTTTAGTTAAAATTCAAAGAAACTTGCTTTTTTTGACAAGAGCGCTCAAGGTGCACAAACGCAACAAGTTCATCTAAGAATAGATGTTCAAGTTCTCCAGTGGAAGCAAAAGCAACCGATCATGTGTGAACAGTCACATGATCAATGTCACAATTGATTTTGAGCGATGTGTTTTGGTTGATCCTATCACAAGTGGACGACACTAAATACAGGTATAAACGGTCTAAAATGTTGTCTCCGATCTGGTTCATGTAAATTACGCAAGCTTATTTTGTCCATTAGATCGAAAGATCTGATAAAGCCCATAAATGTATCCGCTCATAGACCCTCCCTTTGAAGAAATCAGGTCATAAGAGGTTGTAGACAGGACATAAGTGGAGAAGAGACGGAATAAAACACCAAGTGTAAACGGGAATGTTTCTCCCTCCCAAAACAGCCGGAGTATTAATACCCAACGCATTCTCATCCCAAGACGTCATATACTGACGCTTTTGCCAATGTGTATACATCCAACGCACATGGCACCCTTTTGCGTCAATATAACACGCTTCGGTTATGGTAGGTGGTTTAGGTCTGGGGTAGGGTTAGGGTTAGACCACTAGGAGGCGCCTTCTGGCCCATATATATCTGCGTCTCATATTGACGCTAAAGGGTGCGTTGGATGTGCGCATTGGCAAAAGTGTCACTGTATGACTCCTTGGGATAAGAACGGTATTACAGCTAATACCAGGTGTAAATAGAGTGCTGAAGACGTCACTTTGTAGGACAACTCGGAAGCTAGCAGCGCATGGGTTCCAACAATCGAAAAGCAATGCATTTTCTCCATAGACTTTTGGAAAATCGCAAAAAATAAGACTTGTGTTCAACAAAGAGTTGTGACCCTTACACGTTTTGTTTGTCAAGATTTACAAGTTAATCCAAAATGTATACATTTTGAAGCCTATATAAAGTTTTTAAAAAACACAAGCAGACACAATAAAGTTTAAAAAAAAACACAAGCAGGTTATAAGTGTGTGTTCTGTCATAGATCAAAACGTGAAAATATTTAGAGGCTTTGTTCAGCACAGACCTTATTTCAGGCGATTTAGCAAAAACCCTTTCAAAAACCCCATAGACTTTAGAGCAAGGGAACTGGGAGTGCTAAATGCTAACTCACTTCCGCGTTTTGGCCTACAGAGTGGTGTCGTAACTTCAGCACTCTATAGTCTTTGATAACAGTGTTGTATGCCTCGTGTCCACTCCACGACAGTATTTTTATGGTCATTTGGACTTGACCCTCTTCTTGTCTTGGTTTGACTCAATCTACTCAAGTCTTTGCCTGAACTCGAATCAGCTGCTCTCAACCACAACATTGGTTTCTAACGCCATTAGTGTGGGTAAAATTCTGTTAGAGTTCCCAGCAGTTAATGCACATTGGAAAAGTTGTCTCATAAAAGCTTTCTGCATGCAGTGAGATCTGACTCTTCAGCTATTCAGGTCTTCTAATGCTAAACCAATGTCTGCGGTCTCGTTGCTTTGTCAACTAGCGTGTTTCTTGAGAAGAGCGGCTCTACAGTTTGTTCACGCACCGCCTGACTTGAATTGAGGATTATTGGTACCTTGTACTTCTCTACCCGTGGGAAGATCCCCTTATTTGTATTTTAAGCATTAAGCTGCTTCTACAAACAGTTTAGGTACATACGACGTTAGGTGGTGGGAAATAGTCTCCAGTTGAGGCGAAGGCGGTGCAGGTGAGGGAAAGCAATTTGGTTCTTATATGAGAATACTTCAGTCTGCATGACTTCCGGTCTGTGGTTTCTCAGCACAGGCTTAGTTAAGGTGACGCATGGCTGGAAAGTGTTAACGGTCGTATTTATAAGTACCCTTTAACAATCACAAAGAGACTGTCTTGTGTTCTCCCACCCTTTAAAGTGGTCACTGTTGTTTTCTTTCGTTGTCCTCTGAAGTCAAGTGTAACTTGTCTAGCTGTGGATTCTTCTGACCACAAAGCCTATTGCATGTTAAACAATTAAATTATATTCGGGCAGTGTTTATATTTTCATTGTAATGTTAGACGCTGGCAGCTCAATTTAAATGGCTAATGTCTCTTGGCTCCCAGAATAACTGCTACTTGCTTTGAGCAACTGAATAAAAAGCTTTGTTTTTCAATAGTGGACATGTTACCCTTATCTTTGTATTGGCCTGTAATGCACAGCATTTAAAGTTGGTTTTCTCATCAACAACAACAAAAACTGTTGAAGGATTTTATCTGGTAATTGATTCAATTGTGAAAAGTGGTCTTTATATGACAGGTGGTTAAATAATAAGTGTTATACTTTGATAAAAGACTACAAAGACAAACCTTTTAAAATTTAATTTAATAAATCATTCACAACAAGACAAAAAAAAATAAACTCACCATGAAATCAAAATTGAATTTTTAAATTGTTTTTTAATGGAATCTTGAATTGCACTTAAAAAAAAATAAAAAATAAGTACAATTTGCTTAAATTATGTATAATTAAGTATTTTATAACTTAATAAAATAAGTTAAGCAATTTTCAACTTTTTTTAACGAATTAAAGCAATGTAAAAACATATGTTGTCATAACTGATTGATCATATATGTTTTTTTTTACAGTGATACATTATTGGTGCGCATTCTCTTCCATTAATTTCCCCTCACAAGGACATCTCATCTCATCTCTGATGACTTGTGCAATGACGCAAGGACGGGACAATAATCCCTCTCTTCCAGCAACCTGTCATTCCCATGAGATCGCAACAATTAGCAAACCACTATGATCCAATCAATTCCTGATGGACAAAATCAAGTCAGTTTTCCTCGTCCGAGAAGCTGTTTCACTCGGATAAACGCCACAAAAAGATGACCGCTACTTCTGACTTTAATAAATTGTAGATTTTGATCTCACGTTGACTTTAATTCTCCAAACCGAACCACCAAATGAAAATGTTACTGTTTTCAAATAAGTGAAAACAAATTGTCTGCATTGGTCGGATTGATATTCATGCCCCAAACCGATGGAATCAACGCCTCTCAAACTACTTCCTAAGTTGGGGGAAAAAATGGGAGAAATACATAACATAGTGCTCTTTCCTTGGAGCAAGTGTGCCCTTAAAGCAGATGTGACGCTCATAATGGAAGTAGCTATTCATAATTGATTAGGCAGGACTGAAGGTCTGGGGATGATCCATCCGGCCTGGCCTGGCGTGACCGGCCCATACCACTGTCGACCATTGCTCTTTAAGGAACTGACATGCGGAGTGATTGGTTCCATGAAGAGAAGTGTGAAGAACATTTGGTGGTGGGTATGCACTTTTTCCCTAAGCGAAGTAGTTTCAAAGATTCCTCGTGCGTAGCTCTGAATATACTGTTTTAAGATTTTAATGGCTGAACTGATACCAATATTAGCATCTTTTCCTCAGAGTTAACATATGCAGTGGTACCCTGTGGTCACACTGAAACTCGTCTATGAGTTGAGTTATGAGCCAGTGCCTGGTTCACCATCTGTTAGGCCTGCTTTAAATCAGATTTTTAAAAGCACTTGTTTGTGAGATGCTTGGGTAAATATTTGCTAGACCAAAAACAGCTAATTAAAAGTCTTCCCCTTTTGCCATCACATGGACAACACACGCACGCAACTCGCCCAAAACAAGTCCTTTGCTCTACACTGGCCCCAAACGTCCTGCTTGAAAGTAGCAGAAGTTCAAGCTGATTTCATATTCCTTTTCAGCAAGCAATATTTAATTTTTAATCCTATTTAAGCCAACTGGAAATAGTATTTTGCAACAGTGAAACCACGGCATGTATAATTGATGTCTTGTCTTAGCTAATGCAGTGGGAATGTTTAGCAGCCGAAGGAGGGAGAGAGTGATGCATTGAGGAGCCCCTGGGCACCGGTGGAGGCCGCTCCGCTATATCCAGACGGAGAAAATGGGCCCGTGCTGCAGATCTCCTCGCAAATGCAAATGGCATGCAGATAAGAAGCTATAAATCCATTGTGTGTGACGTTCCCAGTGTCGGCTCGTTCCCGAAGTGCTCGCGTGTGACATGCATACGCAGACTGACCTCTCGGCACCGGAACAGAGCTTGGGGCACCACCGGGAGATGATGGTTATATATTTAGATGGACTGTTGACGTGACATGCAATTTTACTATCCTCAATGAAAAAGGCGAGTCGTTTTTTATTGTCTTATATTTATTTATTCATTTGATTAGCAATGAACATTGATTTTCCCCTATAATTATTCAATTATTTTGTCAAAT